ACTTCTCTCTATAGAAATTAACATTATTATCTCAAAAAATCAAGGATTTGTGCTCACTTATGCTTTAAACATGAGCTCTTTTGAGAACTGAGAAATCATCGGTTTTAAACTCAAAATTCTACAGACCTGCCTAATATACAGCCGCATTTCTACTCTGTGACAAGGTAGAAATGGAATTCAAATTGTGTGAGGCTTTGAAGAATAGTAACTTTTAAAGCATGAATGTTACTCCTAGTTCAGATTTGGTTTTATGTGGTATTTAATATCCTCTATCAGTATTAAGCAAAAAGCCCTTAAATGGCCTTCTACTCTGAGCTTTGATTTTTAAGGAGGGAAACATTTAGTAAGGGTTATTTATTAACAGTGACCAGAAAGCCAGCTCTTTGTCAGATATACTGCTATCTACCATGGGACACACGAAGATGAGTGACACACAGTTCTGGCCAAATGGCACTTATGACTTGGGAGAAGTTATTAATCACATTGGCCAGGATAAATGGGACATTTCATGGAATGAGAAATAGTAGTCTATTAAGTCATTGGGTTCTACAGCCCTTGGAAGTGCTTTACACTGAGCTCAACATGAAGTTGAAGCTTCATTAATATTACGTGGCATAGTGAAATAGGACATGGGACAACAATCTCCATTTGCTGAATCAATACACTTCTAACTGATGTTGCTTACAGGTCATGGTTGTTGGATCTGACAGGAGCAGGAAATAATTGTAGTTACTGGGATAATGATAATACATGAAATTATCTAAAGAGTTTATCCTTTTCTGGCTAGTCCTTGAGTGAATTTATTCATTATAATGTAGAGGAAAATTTCCTTACTTGTGGTGTCACCATTCATCTCTTCAAGTTCACTGTTGATTCCAACATCTATGGAACTCATTATTTTGTCAATCTGTGAGAAACCAAAATCATGAAAGCGGATTATTACATTCTCTTGGATATTACATTGTAAAATAACTTCCACATGTCAGGGTCAGGTATTCTTGGTTCTAATGCCACAGCAATACTACAATTAAGCAGCAGACAGGCAAAGATGAAAAGGGGAGTAAATATCTTTCAAAATACAGTTTATGCTTCCCTTTCCTAAACTTCCAAAATGAGCTTGGCTGTTCTCCGTATTTCTTGAACTTTGTGCTTGCATGAGTCAGTAAGGTAGGGACTATGTACTCTTTGAACTCAGCAGGGGTAGGGGTGGGGTTAAGTCCGGGTGATGAGGTCTGCCCTCTCTGGCTCCTGACAGCACGCCTCCCTTCCGACTGGTGAAGGGGCAGGCTCCAGTTCACCAGAGAGGCCACTGGAAGCGAACACCTTAAACCGTTTGGCCAGCTGCAAGCTGATTAGTAGCGTCCAATCACAAGACTAGAAGCAAGAAATGGATATACTCAAAACACTAGGCATTTTATTAGTTCGGAATTTCAGAAGCTGACTAAGCTACAACCATCTCTGAGTCAGTCTCCCTCCTGTAAATGGAGTCAGGTGGCAACCTTCAGAAAGAACAAGTATTACTTAAATGTCCCACTTTGTTCAACCTGAAAGAGACAGAGAGATATCAAGTGCTTTTCCCAAACAACTCAGTTCATAATGTCAGTATCAGAACCATATCCATTTCTACTTCTCAAAATACTATAGTGACCTAATGTACTTCAAAACTTAATCTGAGTGGCAGTCTTTTGCAAGACAAAATGTGACATGTTAGAATGAAATGTCAAGAGAGACTCTAGTCCATTCTTTAAAAGAAATTCAAGTAAAAGCAAGGAGCTTTATTGCTTTATGATGTAATCCTCCTTAGGAACAAAGGATAATATTTCATAACCTTACAAGGGCACTTACTTTCTGAATAATTCTTTTAGATTAAAAACTTTAAGTAGAGCTTAAATTGGTGATACTTGACCCCAAAGCATTTTTATTTAATGTTTCTCTGAGAGCTGTAAAAGGGAAATATTAAGTGATACATATTTCTTGCATGGTTCTTGAAGAAAAGCCAGGATAGCTCTGTTTATCATTAAATTTAAGATTACAAGGAGATATTCTGAAAATATAAGATACTTTGAAGAAGGGAAATAAGCTAACAAAAAGTTTAGCAAGTAGCAAAATAGCAATATTTTTCTAAATCTGTTATTGGCAGTGTTTGGTAGGAGTGATGCGAACATTCTCTTGTACTTTGTAGCTAATTATTACCTCTGCTTGACATAAATTTCTATGGAAACAATAGATGTCCCCCCGTGTGTGGAACTATGTTTGTTTTTACACTTGCTGTGCAATTACCACGTGTTACCCATAGGACCTTTCCCTTCTGGTGGCAGCTGCATGCATTTGTTAATTTTTCCTTGAGCTTCTGAAAGATTTAAAGAACTGAAAATCCCTTCCTCAAGCTCCTTCAACTCTATGGTCTCATAAAGAACAACAAGAAGAAGAGCTAGGCTTACTTCTTCCCATTCGGATGTGAAAGATGGTGTTCGTTCGGAATTCCCTTTGGAACTGTGTTCAGCAGTTGAAGATTCGCTCCAGTTAATTCTTGATGCTTTCTCTTTCGAAGGGTAGGCAATGAGATCAGAATCAGATTTAGAGACATTCTTGGACAAATGCATGTCGATTAGGGCTTTAGGCAATGACCTTATCCTTCCCAGAGTACATGCTCTCTCCACAAATCCCCCTGTGTTTACCACCCACTGGTCCCCACTGCGGGATCCACTTCTGGTGGTTTTCGCGCCAACAATGGTATGGTTCTCCAAATGGTTACTTTTTTTGTGAAAAATTGTTCTACTGACCACTTTGGGTTTAATTTTCTTTACCAAAGGTTCAGAGTTATTTTCTATTGGAGTCTGCTTGAAAGGCAAAGGACTATTTGCAAGACTGACTTCTTGTCCTTCTTCACATTGATCCCTTCTTCCATAGAGATGAAATGGATTTTCAGGGGACTCACAGGCTGGAGAGGATCCATGCAGAAGGCCTGCAAATTGGCCGGGATCATATTCTTTGGGAGGATCACTGTCTTCCTGTTGAGAGATGACATCTGCAAAAGGGAAGAAGGAGGTCAGGATGCTTGTTTATAAAGCCACGGGACAGCAGCAGTGCCCTTATGAAATGGTGCAACGTACAGGCATTTTCATTGCTATGTTGCAATACCCTCACTTTACAAAACTCCCATGGCCCCTTGGCGCCACATATAAAATGAATGTGGGTGTGAATTAAGTCTTCCCGATACACCTTAGAGCTCATCTCAAAGGTATAAACTGAACATGGAGTGACTATATACTCTTTCCCCTTGTGTTCAAAGGGTACATTTCATGTTGGATAAACAAAACTTCCTTGTCTTTCATTGGAACACCTACATTCAAAGCCTTAAAGTAAATGCACCATTGTGCTGTAGAACATAAGCTAGGTAAGTCAAAATTATATGTAATAATAACCCCTTGCTCTCTTCCCAGCTAATAAATTAAAAAGCAGAATCTTGAAAAGAAATACAATTAAAGGTAAAGATTATGTAATGCAAACATATGAAAAAAGAAGGGGATCAACAAATGGAATGAGGGGTAGGGGAGGGAAAAGGGACTAGGAAAGGAACGAAGATGTGTTCTGCACAAGTACCAGCCCATATGAGGAACGTAAACATCATGTTACTGCACACATGTACTAAGAAAAATGATATGAAAAGGTAATTAAGGTTAATAATACTCATATCACTACTTGAAATGTGATTCATAATAATTATACATGTAACATACGATTTAAACAAAAAGGATTTGTTGAGGCTTAACACAGGCAAATATTGCATTTATAATTTTCATACAAAGCAAGCCTCTCGCATCAAACTAGTGTTGAACTATTAATGCAAAGCTATCTTTTTTTCTTCCTCTGAAATAGCATTATTTTCTGATTTTTTCACATCTTTGGAATTGTAATGAAGAAAAGAGGCCAAAGAAGAATGATATTTTTTTTTGTATTGCTTTAGAAATTTTTTCTAAGATAAAACCTAAATATTCTCTGAGATTAAACATATAGTATAGTTTTTTAAATGATTTAATTTGACTTTTAAAGATATATATTGTGTAAAATCCTGGCTAAAGACCTTAGCTTCTTCTAGTGGTCATTTGAATTCATATAGATAGCTAAATATTTTCCAAGATCAAAGTTGTATTATCTAATCATGCCATAACGTATTCTTACAAAATCAAATACAGCCCATGAGGCACATAAATGTCAACAAACCTAAAGCTGATTTGCTGACTCACACTTTAAGAAGTTGGTTATTATTATAAGCCTCAAACTTCAATGTCTTTACAAATTAACAAGTAACACTGAATGAGTACATGCTATGTAGGAGCCACCGAACCAGGAGTTATATTTATGTTTTATCATTTGATCCTCACAAAAATCTAGTGATGTGATTGTTCATAGTAATCATGATTTTCTGACAGAAACAGCTATGGGCAAAATACTGATTCTTCTATTTTTCAGCAATTGGAAACCACAGTAAGTCTCAATGGACATTTGCCCAAGGTTGCCACGGACCACCTGTTCTTTGGAACAGAGACTCTGTGGTCTCCATGTGCTCTCCCCTGAGAGTAGATATGAGGCAGGACAATTGCGAATTCAAGCTAAGCCTGCACAACTTAACAACTTAGTAAGACTCTGTCTCAGAATTTAAAAAAAAAAAAATTTAAAAGGGCTGGGGATATAGCTCAGTGTGAAGACCCTGGGTTGTGTCCTCAATACTGTACAGAGGAAAAGAAGACTAGAGTTTATGTCTTATCATATCCATTTTTTTATAAGTCAGAAGTAATAGTTAAACAACTTAAATTGCCAGAGTTTCCCCCCGCCTATAAGGTAAAAGACTAAGCTAAATTCAAGCTAAGGTCTATCAGGTTCCAACATCCAATGACCCAGAATACATATATTACTATTCCCATCAAAGACCAATTAGGGATGGTTAACAAGAGGACAAGCAAGGAGGCTCCTTTTGGAGATAGACACATTTCTCACATTCACAGCTATTTCTGGAAATTAGGAAAAGTGTACCCAGGAGAAATAAGACTTGAAATTCTCTTCCAATTTATTTTCTCTTTCTTTTTCCTGTGGAGCTTGGATCCCAGAGTGCTTTACAACATAAGGAGGTTGATATAGGATGAGAGTGATGGTAGGATGGAGGACTCTGAAATAAGGAAGCTTAGAATTTTGTTTTCAAAGTTGCTGATGAACATTAACAGGATTGAGCCTAAAAGGAAAATTAAGAAGGGCTATTCATTGTGGGAAAAGTATTTTGTACATCTCCATTAAAAAGGCTTCTGACTATGTTCCTCAGACGGTACTATGAATATTTTAGGGGCATCATATTGTTGATAGGTTTTGTAAATATTATTAGGATCCATCTTCTTCCCAAATGACAGTTACACACCAAATATGCTTTATATTGTCTAAATCCTCTAGTCACATACAGTTAAGGCCTAAGTAAAAGAAACTTCAGTGATCAGTCTACGAGCTTAGTTTTTGGAATAACAGTTCTGAGCATCATGAAAGTTGATAATATTTTTGTCAACAGCGGTCAAATAGTAGCTGGGAGTGGTGGTGCACACCCGTAATTCCAGTACTCTAGAAGGCTGACACAGGAGGATCCCGAGTTTGACCCCAGCCTTGGCAACTTAGTTACTTAGTAATAACTTGTCTCAAAATACATATATTAAAGGGGGCTGGGTTGGGGACGTGGCTCAGTGTGAAGGTCTTGGGTTCAATCCCCAGTATTGCAAACACACACACACTCACACTCACACAAATTAGTACCAGCTTATTTCAGTGGCTGAATTTTAAAAATAACTCTAATTGAAGACAATGAGTTGGTCTGAAACCCCCCAGCAAGCCTGAGTGGTGGAGAGATTGTAGCAGATCAATCTGCACAAGGCTCCATGAAGCCACTCCCTCCTGGCATCCTCCTTTGCTGACCCCACTGTGGCCATGTGCCTGGCATTATCAAAAAGACAGCAGTGAACATCAACAGAGATTTGAAAAGCACTCAAACATTCTTACTCTTGGAATCTTGCCACCATGTGAGAAAGCCAGTCTAGACTACTGGATGATGAAATGAACCATTATCCAGTTGTTTTTAAATATAGGTTTTATTATTTTCAGTTGTAGTAAAGCTAGACTTGAAATCAGGAGACAACTGTCACTGAACAGACAGACAGTTATAGATCCAAGAAGACGGAGACAGCACACCTCAGGGGCCCTGGGAGAAGCATGGAGCTCAGTCAAGAGGCAGAGGAGTAGGGGTATTGAGGCAAGAGGCCTTATTGTGGTTTCTGTGAGAAAAGACAAACAAAGTAGAGACGAGGAGGTTTAGAATTGGCTAATTTGAATGATTTCAGCAGACTCTGGGGCATAAGGACTGCCCCTGGTTATCTGGCCCCTGGCCCTGCATGATTAAGGCAGTGAATTGTGGCCCAGAGTGCAACATTCTGGTAACAGAGGTGGTTGAGGCCATGAACTTTGGATTGGTGGGTTCCATATGGATAGCCTACTCATGGGTTTGCTCTCCTTTGGCATTTACTAGCTCTAGGAGGTAAAAAACCCTCCAGGATGGATAAGACCTCAAGAAGTAAAAATAACTACCACCACCACCAACAACAAACCCCAGAAAAACCAAAAGACACCATTACTACACCAGCCACCAATGTCAGCCCAGCCAATAGCCAGCCAACTTTCACAATCTCAGGCCATTCTGTCAAGTGACGCAGTGCATCGACAAGAAATGCCCAGAGGGCTGAGGATGGCTCAGACCAGAAGAAAACACCTAGAATCAGGAGCTAGAGTCACGGCTATGATTTTCAGCCATTATTTTTGAGTTGGTTTGGTACGTGGCAATAGACAGCCTCTATATCCCAAGTTTTACACACTGCATGCATTTTTCAAATAAATTCTGGAAATACTTATATTTCCACACCTGGAAAATGATGAGAGTAATAATATACACCTAAAAATACTGTGACGAATGAATAGAAGTGTCTTAGTCTATTTGGGCAGCTGTAACAAAAATAGCCATAGACTGGATAGCTTATAAACAACACTTATTTATTTCTCACAGTTTCAGAGGCTGAGAAGTCCAAGATGAAGACATCAGCAGGTTCAGTACCTGATGAGGGCCACTTTCTGGCTCATCGACAGCCCCATGTCTATCATCACATGGCAGAAGGATGAAGGAACTTCCTGTGGTCCTTATAAGGGCATGAATCCCATCCACGAGGGTTCTGCCCCTCCAACTCATTCACTTCTCAAGTTTTCACCGCTTACCATTGTCAACTCAAGGTTAGGATTTCAACATGTATATATGGGGGGGCATAAACATTTGGATCACTGCAAGAAAGTGGTTGGAACAGTTCCTATTGTAAGAACACATTGAATATACATTTCTATGATAATAATGATAATTTTAAATCTAGATGATTCTGTAATTTTCAAAGAAATGTATGAACTGACTATATTGGTATGCAATACAGATCGCTATTTTGACATGGCAATCACATGGAGTTTACCCCTTTGCTTCCATTTGTAGCTTTAAAATATATCCTTTGAAAAGATTTTTCTGCTTTCTTACTTCTTTACAAGAAATAGGCAAAATATATAAATAAAATTGTTTTCATAACTTGTCTGATTTAATTTCACACTTCTCTTTTGATAAGTGGATATTTCATGCCAAGGTACAGAACTAAATATGTGTGAATTCCAATCTGATATTCAAAGTGTCATTAGCATTTCAAAGAAATGCCAAAGTAAGTATACAGTAATAAGCAGTTCAATCTCTTACCCATCTTACCTCCTAATCTTTATCACCTATATAAATTAGAAAAAAAAAACAGTAAAACTCAAAATTTCATGTTAGGATGAAACAAATTTTAGCAAATGTGACTTCTATTATAGATTATAATTTTTATTTATTAGGTCATTGCATTAGCTTTTAGAAAATCAAAGTATTTTCCATTTTCAGGGATTCTAGTACCAATATTGGTATTAGTAGAAACTGTG